CCAGCTCTCTGCTGATTCTCCGACGCCAATGGTGTTACACTTGTAGTGTCCTTCATCGGACTTGGAAATATTGTAGATCGTCATCACTCCAGAAGAGCTGTTTCTGATGAGGAGGACATCTTTATAGAAATCAGCTTTAAGGTTGGAGGTGTTCTTGTTTCTGCAGTTCAGAGTAAAGTCATCTGTCTCCATTACAGGAAGAGCAGGACTGTCCGGGATCACAGACCCAGCTGATCGATATGTGAGTTTAAAACATATTTTAAAATTATTTAATAAATTGTACAAGAAAAACAAAGGTTATCAATCATTGCAGTAGAATCGTCTCTGTGTGACTTTCATAAAGATCAATATTAAAACTATATAGAACTTCAAGTATTGCAATATTTGTAGAAATCAGGTGTTTATGTGTTTGTGCTTTAAAGCTTTTTGTTCAGAAAACTATTTTGACAGAGGTAAGTATTGTCAGTATGATGCATCAGTCAGGGTGTTTGTTGAGCCTCACCTCCGACAGCCAGCCAGCTCTCTGCTGATACTCCAACACCAATGATGTAACACTTGTAGAGTCCTTCATCAGATTTAGAAACATTGTGGATGGTCATGATTCCTTTATAGCCAGTCTGTGTTAGGATGCCATCTTTATAGAAATCAGCTATATGGGCAGAGGATGTTGTCTTGTTCCTGCAGCTCAGAGTCACATCTTCTCCCTCCATCACAGGAAGAGCAGGACTCTCCAGGATCACAGGACAAGCTAACAACAAAGGTTACAAAAACATTTTTCTATTATTACTGTCTGTTGAGGAGCACTATACTAATACTTCACCAATAACATGAATTCACTTAGTAATAGGTGATAAGTCTTTGCTTGAGAAGATAAACTTGAAATATTTAATTTTAGAGATTCATAACAATTAACTTAAAGGTCTATTGATCAATTGTTGCCCACTAGAGGGACCAACATTAATACAAGCTGACAAACACTAAAGTTTGTCACAATGTTATTATGTGCAAGTAGTTTTTTGGCCTCTGGCAGTCTCAAAGAAACATTGTCATTAATTTCGAGTCATGTTTGTGTCCTGGTAATATCAATGGAGTCTCTTTTTAAGCTCACTTCCTTTTTAAATTGATATTTATTTCTTTTTGAAAGTAATAATGCTTAACACACCAGTAACATTGATGATGACAGAGTTACTTCTCTCCGTTCCTTTAGCTTCACACCAATATTCTCCACTGTCTGATGCAAAGGCATCTTTAATTACACAGGGTCCCCTTGATATCTCCTGATAACGGCCACATATTGTGTTGACTCCCATGAACCTCCTCATCACTCTCCACTTGGTGAAATCATCAAATCCCTCGCAATCAAAAGAGATTGATTCATATTCAAAGAGCTGGAGCCTGTTTGGAACAATATGAAGAAAAGCTGCGTCTGAGAATGAGACGGAGAGAAAGTGATTTTTTTATGTTAAATATATAGATATATAACAACAAAACTTTTGACAAACTTGATTCTCCAGTTTTTAACAATTCTGAAAACTAATAACAGTGTTTTGTTGGGCTGCGTTGTCTTCATCTTTCTAAGAGTTCATGGACAACAGTGAGCACTTTTCCTTTGTGAACAGACTTCATGCAGACTTACATTTTAAAAGCATCTAGTATTATTTCTTAAATATAATATTTTTTTTACAAACTTAAAGAAGTGACTACACATGAGCGGTTAGAATTACTAGTTATGGAAATAATTAACTGCTACTTACGAGCTTTCTCAGCACAGTAACAGTGCTGATCTTCTGCAACCAGAAGAATCAATACATTTATTACTGGAGATACAGAGGAAAAGAGGAAAGAGCTGTGTATCAGAATGAGAGTAGATGCCACTATTTGCAATTAAATTTTAGATTTATATTTTTAATAATGATTTACAGACAGCTCAGTACTCACACAGTTTCATGCAGAGAGCTGTAACCTCCATGTTGTGTTGCTGCTGACCGTCTGAGCATCAGACTGAATGGCAGAAATATACTGGTAAGCACTTCCTCTTCCTGTGCAGTGTATTTCTGGTGACTGAAACGTTTGAGTTTATCTGTGACACAGAGCTGCCCTGAGAGAGATTTCATTAGTTGCACATCAGTATAGCACCAGCGAATCACAGATCATACCAAGCTGGCAAAACTAAATGATAAATGATCAAACATATAATAACAATCTCTAAACAAAAATCTGAAATGTATTTTTCATCATCAGTGACAATGCCGTCCATGGTGCTGGAAGGTCAACAGCGAGCTAACTAGTTCAGCTGAAAAACTCATTAAGTACTCTGAACTTACAGTTACCGTTAGTAAGATGAAGCTCCTCGAGGTCCCTTGTGATTTGTGATATTTGGCTACATAAATACAAATGACTTGGCTTAACTTCAGCAGGTTAGCCGGCTGAGGCCAGACTACAGGTGTCTTTTTTTACGTAGTTTAATTCAAAAAGTGAAACTTTCATATATCCTAGATTCATTATATCTAAAGGGAAATGTTTCCTTGATCATATTTCATTGTCTCACATATACCTGAAGCAATAAACACTGCAATGTTGTTTTCGATCCAAAAGATTAAATATTAACTTATAACATGTTTTTACTCCATCCATCCCTCTTCTTTCACTTTCTCTGACCTGGCTTGTTTTAGCTGTAATTCTACTCCTTTGTGAAAAAGCCCTCTTCTGCCCTGTGCAGTAAAATCAACCACAATATCACTGTTATTTGTTCAGGTTGAATCGACTTCCTTGTTCCACTCATGAAAATCAGATGTGCTCCAGTAGGTTTTTTATATCTAGTAAGCAGTTACCTTAACCAAGGTGAAGATGTTTAATGTTTGATAAAGTTCAGTTAATATTGACGTAATCATTGAAACACATGCCATGTGATTTTAAACAGACATGTTTAGTCTCAAGATGCATGAAGAGACACAAATGAGCCTTAAAAAAGAAGATCCCAGCACTGCGCCTGCTCCATGCACCTACTAATCTCTGCTTTAGAATGCCCCCTGTTGGTACATAATGTAAATATAAAAAGACTATCAGTGGGATTAAAGCAGATTTCCAGACATGCTGCAACTTCTCTCCTCTTTATAGTGTAGGTCAAAGTACACATCCGTTTACTTAAGGACTGTGGCTGTGCAGCGGTGACAGTTCTTTGAGACTTTGAGGTATGCACCTCTTAAATGAAAAATAAACGTTTTAATAGTTCATTTTAGCAACATTTTCCCTTTCGTTAAAATTTAAAATGTCTTTCTTTTTGGAAAAGAGCAAATCTACAGTCACTGGAGGTTGTTATTTGTTTCCCTATTTTTATGGAGCATGTTACACTCAGTGTCACGTATTTACACATACACATTCTGTACATTGAAAATCTTATTATGTGTCAATTTAATAAACATGTTCTTGTTTGTCCATTAAGATATGTTTGCATATGTACCCTTGCACTGTAAATTGGTTCAGCCATCAAGGATATTTTAATACCCAAAGCCTAAATTTCAGTAGATGAGTTATAAATGTATTTTAACCTTGATACTGACCATTCATGTTTCTTCCTCAGGTCAGGAAGACTGTTTGACAGCAGACTGACTCTGATTAAACAGCAAAGATGATGAACAACAAAACTAAAACAAAAGGACAGAGACATGAATGTGATATTAATCATTAACTAAGAATAATGTTTGAGAGCCAGTTTTCAATTAAATGCTTTGTGACAATCTGACATTTCTGTTTTTTTTCTGTTATGTGTCCTGTTACTGTGATTATTGTTTTTCATTCTATGTTGTTTATTGATGTTGATTTACAGAACTTTTCTTCACAGAACACAATCCATGCAATATTAAATATCTTTTTTTGTGTGTGCATAATAATAATAATAATAATAATGATAATAATGATAATTTTGTACTATTGTTATATACTTATCTTGGAGTTTTTGCACATTTTATTTAACCATTGTTACAAAATATCTCAAAATAAATGCTTTGGAGTTACTGAAAATTTTCATTTAATTGTCACATCAACAAATCACATGGAAATGCTTCAAATGGCATTTCAATGCCCTTTGAGGATTATGTAGTTGAAAAATACAAAACATCTCATGTAGAAATTAAACATTTTATTTCACAAGAAATTTATTTCAAGAGATATTACAGATCTCCGTGTATACATCCATGAGATTCAGAAAAATTTTATAATTTATTTGAAGTATAGTACTTGTGCTTGATGAATTTATGCTCCATATTTATTCACTTTTATAAAGTGTGTGCTATTATGAGCATGAATAAGAAGTTTTATTTCATATATTACTGATAATACCATGCAGGATGTACTGCATTCTAATCACTGTCACATAAACAGTTTTTTGTAGAAAACATGCAATTGTGTAAAATAAAGATATTTTGTTAGCATAATTTTTGGGTTTTCCAAAATCATTCAGTAGTTGTCCCACCAGTATGTGCAAATAATTTTAATGTTTTGCAGCAGTGAGCTCCTCCATTTCCTTTGTGCATTTTATTGTTGGACAAAGTGGTAGTGTACTTTTTTGTTTAGAGCAAAAATATTACACCTGCTTAAAATGTCAACATTGTCACTGTGAGCATGTTACCATTATGATATTAGTATTTTGCTTAAAGCACAGCCTCACAGAGCTGCCAGCATGGGTGTCCATACACACATTCAGTGTGATGCTCAAAACCTGCTTAGTATGTGTTTGTATGTAACAGGGACACAGTTTTCTTCGGGTTGCTTTTTCCTTGCCCAACAGCGTAAAAGCAGAACTGTGGTGTGGATTTAGTTCTAGTCCGATTGTTGATGTTTCTTTCTGCACTCTGAACATGTCATGCTTTACACACATTACACTAACTGAGCTGCAGGAGGGCTGAGAGAGAGAGAGAGAGCACTCCTAATAACTACATCCTGGATTATAGGATGTGTCCTTGTTTGCTTTTATCACCAGACCAACATTTGTTCATACTGTCACATTATGTGGACATACATGTGAGGGTTAAGACTTTGTTTTAATACTCGGTAAGAGTTAAATATGTGGTGTTTAAGGTTAACATTATAACCCTCAAGAGAATGGATTTGAGCCAATGCAAAGACCCACTAAGGATGACTGTCTGAGCCGTGTAACAGGTAGGCTATGTTAGTTTTTAAATTAAATCTTCCAGCTGTGCTTTCTAAAGATTTAATCAAATGGGGATATTTTTCACTTACATATAATTACTAAACATTGTTTTACACAAGGGTAGAAACAAGAAAAGCTGTGGCTATTATGTATGTAAAAATAGAGCATATGGTAGGTATGTTTTCACTGCTGTAAGCTAAAAAAAGATTGATCAAGGTTGATCAGGGGTTTATTTGGCTTCAACTCCAATCTCCCGAATTGAGAATTTGTAGCACTTAAAGGAATATTCTGTTGGAAAACAGATGGTATATAAAAATATATATAATTATGCCAATCATGGAAATACAGTGACTGATAAATTTATGTGAACATATCATACTCAAAATTACTCAAAATTATTTTACTACACCACATGCATATAAATCTTACATGATGAAATATGAGTATTAATCAATGAATTAAATATGATGAAAAATAATAGATAATTTAAAGTGAAGTAAAATGATCTATCATTTACTTCATGACCAATGTTGGAATTTGGTGTAAGATGTTTTGTGCACAAGAAATGCAGTCAAACATTCTTTTCTTTTTTGACAAAGTGAAACGTACTGTAGAGTTGTATTTCAATAGAAAAGCCACCAGGAACCAGATATTGAATTTGATCTACTTATTTTTTGTGTTGGAATGACACTGAGATCTTAGTTGTTTACATATAGTATTATCTAGTATGATTTTCCTTTAAAGTAACATTTCACTACTGATTTATTTCAGTTGCAGAACACCACAATGCTTTGCCTGATGGATGGTCCCTCCTTTAAACCTCTGCTCAGTTCCTTCAGTGCTGTGGTTTTGCATCACACAGTTATCTTCCTTGTCCTAACACAATGCTGTGCAGGTAACCTGCACACAAATACAAAATATTTATTAAAGGAATTGTTCAACATTTGGGGAATTATTCTTAACTCTCTCTGGTGCAGAGCTCAATATACTCCCATATTTATAAATATGAAGCTGAAGTTGTAAACAAAACAGATCAAAATTTCTCTGGTGCAAAAAGAGCTCTGATGCTAACTCAGTATGATGATGCAGATAATGAATTTATTGTCTTTAAAACCCACCTCACTGGAGCAAGAGTGATCCCGACAGCAAGATGTAAAATCCTTTTCCTCAGGTCAGTCCCAGGTGGTTGGTCCATCTCAGTCATTAGTAGCATTTGTTGGTGTTGACATCAGTTTGCCATGCTACCTGGAACCTGCTGTGGATGCTTCAGACATGACAGTGGAGTGGGCGAGACCTGACCTGGACCCTAGGTTTGTCCATGTGTGGCGTGATGGTGCGGTACTGGAGAATAAAAAACATCCGTCCTACGACGGAAGAGCTTCACTCTCTATAAACAACCTGAAGCACGGAGACATTTCACTGAAACTCTCCCAAGTGAAACTCTCTGATGGGGGAAAATACAAATGCTTCATTCCTACTTTGGGTAGAGAATCTACTGTTGAGCTTTTTGTTGGTGAGTAAATATGCACTATTTAGATACTGCATAGTGTCCTTTCTTTGTAAGTTTGACAAATAAGATTAAAACAATTGGAATTTTATTATGCATGTCAAACAGGGAACAGAGTTTTTACACATATTTCTGGTTGGATCTGTAAAGATGTATCATGTCTTGTGTAAATGTCAAATGTGTGACTTTATGAGGGGAGTTTATGGGTATGTCCATCCATCCATCCATCCATCCATCATCAGCCGCTTATCCTGCGTATCCAGACTTACAAAATGAGATTGGAGATAAAACTCCCTTTGCATGCTGTCTGAGGGAGGGAATGAAAATGCACAATAAAAAATAAGAAGCAACAGGGTCGATTATGTTTCAAAAATGGCAGGGAAATGACCCACCTCTCCCACAAAGGGTGTGAGGTGTAGGGGTAAAACAGGATTCACAGTGAGCATAGAACCAAAGGAATAGGGACTATGGAAAAAGAAAATAAGGATGTACTAATGTTCCAGATTCACATTTTGAGTTGGATGTGCAAAAGCATTCATGGTGTCATTTTCACAAGTTAGAAAAATCATAGTTCTATCCACCTGATATTTACCTGCTAGGTCTTATTATTTTGTATTTAAACCACATTTTTATATTCCTGCTCTATATCATTAGGTGTCGTCTCATTCATAACAATCAGCTTAGTGAGGACTGAGAAAGACAAAGTCAGCAGTGGAGAGCTAGAATGTAAATCTGCAGGCTGGTATCCAGAGCCTGAGGTGTTTTGGCTGGACGGTGAGGGAAACCTCCTCTCTGCTGGACCTACAGAGACAGTCAGAGGTCCTGATGACCTCTATACTGTCAGCAGCAGAGTGACTGTGGAGAAGAGACACAGCAACAGCTTCACCTGTAGAGTCCAACAGAAGGACATCAACCAGATCAGAGAGACAGAAATCCGAATTCTAGGTGAAAAAGTTTTGTTTTCTAATCTGTTCACTTTTTCAACAACTGATTTTCTAGAAATGTCATGTTGTGGTTGTGTTTGTCATTTCAGAGGATTTCTTCATGGGCCCTTCCTGTTCTGTTGTTCGTATCATTGTGGTCTTGTCTGTTGGTTTTGGTCTTGTCCTTCTGCTTTTTTTCTGCAGTTTTCTTTTAAATTTTTTGGAAACTAAGACAAAACAAAGGTGGTGAGTTACATCATGGATTGACTTGTTTCATTGACTGATGTAGCGGGATTTCCCCAACACACAGTATTTTTTCTGTGTCATGCTAAACTTGGACAAGAGCATGGATTTTATGTGAGAAGTGCAATGAGTGCCAAAATAAATCCAACACATTGCTCATGAACACAGCAGATCTGACCTTTCAATTCAACAGTTTCCTGCCTCTGTTTGTGTACAGATCCCAAGATGCACCAGAGAGAGCTGCTCATCAGAGGAAGTACAAAAGTAAAGGATTTGGTTCAGGGAAGCTTACAGGAGAAAGAGGAAGAGCAGAAGGACCTGGTGCATGTGATTTCAGTAATGATGCAACAGAAGAAAGAACTGGAGATCTTGAGCATATCACAGCTGACGGAGGTGGAGGGAGAGTGGACAGAGATTGAGAAGGAACTCAAGCCAATAAATAGTAAATACAGTTGGAAAAAAGAGGACAGACAGCGCACTCTATCAGATGTCAAACTGGAACTGGAAAAGAAAAAGACAGAATACAAGAAATCTTTACAGAGCAACGTGGAAACACTAAAGAAAACAGAGGATGTGATTACAAGAATGACGGAAAGGAAGAAAAAAGTAGAAAACCAGATTGATAAAATTAAGGAACAACTTGAGAAGACAAAGATATGAAGAGAGATAATATTAATACATATATAAATGCATTCTTTATGATCAGATTGTAATGTAAATATGAACATAATTGTCTCTATTTGACTTTGATTTCTCATTACAAACATAACCCTTTAAGTCCAGTCTGTTCTCATCTCAGGGCGTCAAAAACGCTTTCAGAAAAAGTGATGGTTGCTCATTCTAGGGAGTGGGATTATGTTGTGCAGGTTTCCCCTACGCGGGGCATAGCAGTTGGTCTGTAGGATAAAATATATTGTAATTTGGCTGGTGATGAAAATAATCAACCTGAACGTCAGACAGAGAAGCAAATTTGATAAAAACATAAAGTTAAATATTCATCTTTAATTTTGATCTGAAAGGGTCACACCACTGATTTTACACAAGTTCAGTGTTTTCATCCATTTGTAGGCTAATAACGTTTAGTAAAAAGCATGCATTACAAAATGTAGGCATGTCATTTGAAGGACTTCAGCATAGGCAGGGAGAGTCCAACTAAACACACAACTGAGCTGCATGATGGGAAATGAAGGATCCAGTGTGTTAGGGATATCAGAGACTAAAACGAAGAATGTGCTGCTGGACTGATTTTGGAAATTAATTTGACCTTGTAGGAAATCTGGGATTCATACAGTTGGCAAGTTTGAGGACAACTTCTACACATCTGCTATTAGATGGTTTACTGTGCAGCGAGTATCATGTATGAAGTTAAACAGTTACTTATTCACAGACAGATGGTGAAAGTGAAAGAAGCTGCATATCTAACTGATATCAGTCTCAGATTAAATATTAAGCCATTTACTGTGATGGGATGATGCAACCAGCAGTCTGTGCAATTCTAAACTTTTTCAGTTTTCTTATTAATAATCTTAATCTTAATTTATCAAACATTTGTTGTAAAGATCCACTAAGTCTTTAGTTTTTTCAATTTTTCAGTGAAGAAGCGGATACAATACTTGCACAAAGGGAAAACATATTCATGAAAGGGGTCAAAGTACTTTTTTTTTTTAAAAAGAACTTTGGCCGTACGGCTTCATAGTCTCTTTGAAGAACAGAATCGGGGATACAGCAGGTACCTTTTGTACATATATTTTTCAAATTTAATGGTACTTTCACCCTATTTTCATTCTGGTGTGTGTCATTGAATAATTGGGTGTTTTAAAATTGGTTATTTACATAGTTTACAAATGCTACTTTTGTACTTGCAACAGTAACTATCTCTTACAGTGTGTTTGGCTTGTTTATATTTGGGGTTTTCTAGCTTTGACACTTTTGATTTGTGTTTTATTTCTTCACTGATGGCGTAAGTTTCTTATTGCACAAATAAACTTAAAACTTATTTATTTACTTATTGGTATTTCTTTACTAAGTTGGGCCTATTTAGTAAAAAAAAAATGGAGTGCAATGTAACTTTACAGCTATCTATTCTACTGTCTCGATTGTAGCTGTTGCAATGTAAATGAAACTAGTTCTCACAATGTTATTGCAGCATGAAGGGCAAGTGGCCTTAAAATTAGGTTATTTATATATCATGGTTTGAGTGGCATTCATTAACTTATTTTTAATGTATCAGCTTTCTTTTTAAAGGCTTATAATAAAACAAATACAAAACATGTAACTTCAAAATGTTGGTAGGAAACAAAATGTGCCCAGAAAATGTGCTTCTAACAGATAGAGTAGGAGTAGTGGCAACACGAGGAGTGCTGAATCATTCTTTACTATGTCATATATTTAATAATATGACATAGTTCCTCTGGGCAGTCAGTGTTTTCCTACCGAGCAGCAGAGACCTAGAACACCACACCCACAGAACTACAAAATATTTCTTCTCTCACCTCATTCTCTAAGCCGATAAAACAGTGCTTACTGGATAATCAAATGTGCTGTCACGTAGTGTTTCTGTCATAGTCTGCATATTGTTTTTACAAATGACTGTGCTCAAATGTAAATGTCTGTGTCATCTTATTTGTGCTTGTGTGATTTTGTCTGTGCTATACGTTTGTTCATTTAAACTGTTTTCTGTGTGGACTCCCTCGTTGCTATGCTCTTCAGCGAGCTGGGCAAAACATTTTGTGCTCTGTGTTTATGTCATTTGTGCTTTTATGTTTTATCCATTCTCCTGTGTTCTCTGTTTGTGTTTATGTGGCGAAGTCTGTATGCAATGTTTTCTGTTTCTATTTTTTGTTATGCTATCGACCTGCCAGGGACTGCAGATGAAAATGACTTGTGGCTCTATGCTGCAGATTTGATGGGACATTCCAAGCGCACAGAAATGATTTGTTGTTTCTGCATGTAATTTATTCCCTCCCTAGAATATGATTCGGTATCTAGCTAACTATAGCTGAAGCCATTTTGACCCTTTCTTTCTGGCAATTAACATTTCAAAAGTTTATTATTTCCCCAGAACTCCAGGATGCTTTGCCTAAATGACGGACTGCTCCTTAATAAACCTCAGCTCAGTTCCTTCAGTGTTTTGGTTTTCCAGCACACTGTGATCCTGCTTCTCCTGACATACTCTTTTAGAGGTAACTTGTAAACAAAAACACCAGCACTGAGTGAAGCCAAACTTAAATAGGGGTAAAACAAATAATTGGCATATTTTTAAGATATAAATATCAGTATCAAAGCAAGCATTAATTTGGTACAAAATGTATTTCTGTGTGCAGGATTTCAAATTGGTTCTGTGTCTTCCAGGCCAGTCTCAGGGGGTTGGAGCATCTCAAACAATAGTAGCAGTAGTTGGTGAGGATGTTATCTTGCCTTGCCGCCTGGAACCTGCAGCAGATGTTGTTTCCAAGAGTCTGGAGTGGGGGAGACCTGACCTGGAACCCAGATTTGTCCATGTGTGGCATGAAGGTCAAAACCTTCTGGTTAACCAAAACCCGTCTTACAAAGGAAGAACATCACTGTCCATCGAGAAGCTGAGGCACGGAGACCTTTCACTGAAACTCTCTGCAGTGAAACACTCTGATAATGGAATATACAGATGTTACTTTCCCTCACAGAGTAAAGAATCTACTGTTGAGCTTGTTGTTGGTGAGTGGGTTTCAGTTTTTAACACTCCTGTACAAAGAAAACAGTTGCATCAGATTTAGTGGGCTGTAGCTGATTTATTTATTTGTGTAACAAATATTTTTTCTGCATTCTTCCCATCATCAGGTTCTGTCTCCTCACCAGTCATAGCAGGGACTAAATTAAACAGCAGCAGTGTGGTGTTACAGTGTGAGTCTGCAGGCTGGTATCCAGAGCCTGAGGTGTTTTGGCTGGACGGTGAGGGAAACCTCCTCTCTGCTGGACCTACAGAGACAGTCAGAGGTCCTGATGACCTCTATACTGTCAGCAGCAGAGTGACTGTGGAGAAGAGACACAGCAACAGCTTAACCTGTAGAGTCCAACAGAAGGACATCAAGCAGACCAGAGAGACAAATATTCAGATTTCTGGTATTTTCCCCCCTAATATCCACATTTCTTTTCAGCCTTCAAACAGCTGAGTGGTGGATTTATATTACTAATATTCTGTTGTGTATTTTATTATTTCAGATATTTACTTTGCAACCTCATCTTTTTGTGCTGCTTGTGTCAACATTGCAGTAGTTACTTTCCTCATTTTAATTTTTCTTTATTTTATCTTTGTTTTGTGGAAATGGAGACAAAACCAAACCAAAGGTTAGTTAAACAGCCGAACACCAGATGTCACTGGTGGCTACATCATTACGAATTCAAACAACTTAAGGATGTTTTTTTATTTTATGTTGCTGTCTTGGCAACGTCACCCTTGATCACCTCACTGATCTCAACAGGTCTTACCTGGTTAATATGTCAATATTAATGTCCTGTGCTGGGATTGGTTCCAGCTCCCTGTGACTCTGAAAATGAATCGAAGTTCTGAAGACTGTGTTAGTTTATCAGGCATAGGTTCCTGTTACAAATACAAATGCATTAATATATATTTTTAATAAAATAATATTGTTTTAATCTTATTTTATTTCTCTCTTAATTAATTAGTGTTTTTTTTTATCTTAATTTTCTATTCTGTCTCTGTGCTGTTCATTTCAACATTTTCATTTATAAACAATGCCCGGTTTTTATATTCTCACAGAAACAAAGATGCACCATGACGCTGAAACTGAAAAGAGAGAGAGAGAGCAGCTTGTGGCACAAAGTAAGGAAATGGAGGATTTGGAGGAGAAAAAGGCAAAACTTGAAGAAGAGTTACAGAAGAAAGAGGAAGAGCAGAAAGACTTGGAACAGGTGGTTAATATACTGATGGAACAAAGCAAGGAACTGCAAAACCAGAGGGATCAGCTCCAACATCAAAGGGAGGACATGCAGAAAAACATTGAAGATATTGAGAACAAGATTCAATCAGTGGAGAAGATGGCAGAAAGTGACCGAGCTCAGGGATACTACGAAATGAAAAGTATCACATTAACAGTCAAAAGACAGCTGCAGGATAGAAAACAAGAAGATGGAAAACTTTGCCTGCAAACACAAACACTACTGAACAAAACAAACGGTTTGTTAGATGGAATGACAGACAGGAAGAAGGAGGTGGAGAACCACAAGGAGAAAATCAACGAGCAGCTGGAGGAGATTCAGAGGAAACTTCAGACAGACGAAAGACTGTAAACTAGACCCGTTAAATTATCTATAGACAACAACGTCTAAATTTTTTGTGATAAAAAATACACACTGCTGTTTGGGGTCACTAAAAAAAGTCCTTGTTTTCAAAAGAGAAGCACCGTTTTTGCACATTATCTTTTTAGATGTGGAATTGTCACCTGCTGTCTGAATTGTGTGTTTTCCTTTACATTCATAAAAACATGTCCACCATAAATTGTTTCTTTGTTGTGTGTTAACCTTTTGAAGAAGAAATATTGACAGTGGAGGAGACACTGCACATGTGAGAAATGTCATGGTAGAAAAAAAAAATTATTTAATTTAAACAATGTTTTGCATCTTTAATAACAATGCACTGCAGCATATTAAGCAATTTATTCTTAAATGATGAATCAATTGTTGATTATGGATATCAATTATTTAATTTCCATTTTCACACTCAGTGCAGCCTGCCAAGCCAAAGGATTTGTCAGATAGCAAAAATGTGGATAGGGTGAAGTCCAGTGCTATCTAAACAATGTGTAACATGTTAGACAATATCATATAACAAACTTAATTTATAGAGCACTTATCACAATGGAGTACAAAGTGCTTCACACAGAGAGAGACGACATGAACATCATGGTAACTGATAAATTCCTGAACAATAACAAACTCTTTTCAAAGTGAACAATCGAAGGAAATAACCACAAAAGATTACATTCAGTTTCACAAACTATAAGACAAGATAGAAACGGTAATAAAGCAGTAAAATAAACAGCTGGCTCAGGTAAAATCAGGACTTGCTGTCTGTTAAAAATAGGTTTTAGATTACCTACTTTGAGAGTTGTGTGAAGAGAGTTTAGTGGTTACTGATCACAACGTTTGTAATATTTTGGGGAACAGAGAAACTGAACTGTTGCATTACTCCTGTATACATCCTTTCAAGCGTGAAAGATTAGGTGTGATTAGTTTCAACGGACCAGCAGAAATAACATAAAATATAAAATAAAACATAAATTTATTGCACTTAAAACTATGAAGTAAATACAAATGTTGCAACCTACATACGTTTCATGTGTGCCAAAGCTTTAGCTTATTCAGAGTGCAGTAAAAATTACAGCCAAAGTTGTAACTAGCTAATTCCAATAGTGTACCCCACTGACAACTGAACTGATTTACAATTATATAAAAAAATGAATTATATAAAAAAATATGATGCAAATTAATGACAATGGGCATAAACGAGAAACCAGTTTGCAAAAGGTTCCTATGTACGTATCGAATGTGCACAAACAGGCATTGGGGGAATGCTCTCTCGGCTGCAGTCTGAATGGAAGCGGTGTGATGCAAATTCACAACAATCACCGTTAAGGGGGTCTCCAGTACCTGCCACTGCTGTGCTGATCACTGTGCTGATTCCACATGTATTTTTGGTGCCACGTTTAGCAGTTCTCACACAATTGGTAGTCCTGCATCTGTGAAACCCAGAGGTGCTGTGCTCCCTGTGTATGGTTAAACCGCACTCCACTGGTTATAGTTAGTTCCTCGGTTAGGAGGAATCCCTTTTTGTTATATTGTGTTCTTTCATTCTCCTGTTGTTCCCTCCATTTCCATCACCTGACCTTCCCTGTACACCTGCTCATCTGCTAACCTGTTCCTGCTTTCCCCTCATAAATCTTACATTATGTTTACCTCATTCCCTGCCAAACTGTCTATTCATACGCCCATCTGTCCGAGCTTTTGCTCTGCCTGCCTGACCCTTGGACTTCTGCCTCTCATTTTTAAAGATAAGATTGTCAGTTCAGATGCCTGGAGTGGAGTGCAGGACCATGCAAAGACCTTTGGAGGTGTCAAAGTATAAAAGGAGCTCAATGAACGAGGCTTTAAATAGGGCTGTGCTCAAAATTTCGATACAGCAATATATCGTTAAGCATTCCTTGCTGATATGTGTATAGATATGAATGTTTTTGTATTGATACAGCAGTGAATGCTGAGACACAGCTTTGAAAAAGAAACAGAACGAAAAAAGACCATTTTAAGTTTGAAAGTTAAAGAACGTTTTCTTTTCACCAAAGTCTTTGATTAGAAACTAAAGTATCTTGGCTTGTGGCTCCTGTATCACGATATGTATCTTATTGTGAGATTGCAGGGAATACTGAACTCTAGCTTTAAAACGTTGTGGCCTCACATGCTGAGGGGTTTGCTAAGGATGCTGTTGCTGCTGTTGACACTACTTGAGGTGATCTGAGACTAGAGATATTAAAACAAACACTCTGACTCACTGTGACTGAGCTGCTGTAGTGCTGCAGCCGCTGCCAATAAGATGGAGATGCTCACAGAGACTGCTGCACACCAAGAGCTGCAGGTAGAGAAAATAAGATTCAAAAAATTGTGGGAAATAACCTGAGAAGGAAACAGTAATGGGGGAAAGGATGAGGGTGGCCATGGCAGGGGTAAGGGTGAGACAAACATTTATAGACAGAGGTGTGTGTGTGTGTGTGTGTGTGTGTGTGTGTGTGTTGCCTGCTTGCTTGCATGTCTACAATATGCAATATTGTTATTATGATTTTAGATATTGCATTGTGAGTCTGAGATATATTTGGATTTTGACTGATAATTTGTCCAATTTAAAAATCTAAATAAACTTAAATGTGTGTGTTCATTTTGTTGGCCCCTACATATAGTAGCACTAATCGTGTCAATGAGTGGATGATTTGTTGTAGGCATTGCTGTTGTTGTTTATAATAATTACATTGTGTGTTCCTACCTTTTGTGTCTTTATAAAGCAGCTGGATAGGGATCCACCGCCTTTTGCTGCCTCAAGATGCTCCTTCTTTTTTTTAAATTCTACTATTAGGTATCTTTGCACTGCAGAATACACACACACACACACACATACCTTTTCCTGAAATCTTCTATCTATTTAGGGATGTATCTCTTGATGTATGGAATATTATTCATTTTACAATCTAGACATTTTTAGATTTATTTCCAGAGAGATATTTCTGAGTACATATTGGTTTTGCTGTTGTACACGTACATAAAAAAGGCTAGAACCCTCGACACCAGTCAAACTCTTTTCCCTCAAACAGCAAGAAAGAAGTGAACAGAGCATGCACCATTGTTTATATTACTATGTGTAGAAATAATGTTAGCTGTCATCTAACAGTGATTAGCTAGCAACTACTGTGCATGCCCTCTTCGTGTTGTTTACGTAAAATACATCCCATAACAAACACACCGCTGCAAACCCCACTTACCGGCAGAGGGGTTAGAGGGCTCGCACCAGATGAGGTCGTCAGGTGAAAGGTAATTTTATGTAAGGGTAATTTTTATTTTTTTTTACCTAATAGTTTGATTTTGTAGACCTTCACAAAAGGGCCTTGACAAAAAGGGGTGGGGTATAAAAAAGACATTATGCCTTTACAAAAGGGCACTTTGGGCATCAAGGGCCAACAATGCAGATGCCTCAACCTACAAAACTGCAGCATGTTTTGCACAATTCAGTTTTAAGTATTTCCGCATTCAGTTTTAAACTAGCCAATGGCAGGCAGCTGGTGGAAGTAACATTTTTAGGACGGTATCATAAAACTCAGTGTTATTGAGTTGTGTTGGTTGGATCATTACCAGAACAGACATTCAGAGATGATTACCCTGAAGTTTACTGTCTAGGCAAGTTTGATTTTTCAAGAGATTAATGTTGTCCTGTTGATTTATTTTTATGTATTAATTCATTGATTCAGTAACTTAATTTTAAATGAACTAAATCAACTTTAGAGTCCCCTGTCTGCCCAAACACAGCAGAGAAGCTCAGTAAAATACTTTTTTGTCTTCCAGATGAAAAAGAAAACCGAACAGTGGTGTGTAGCAGAATATAATCTAACCTCGGAGAAGTACAGGACAACAGATGTTGGTCTTGAAAGGTTTAAAATTTTGAAATTACATGAAGCACCAACTCAAAGAAAATGTTGTTATATGTTCGGGAACATATAACAACAGCTTTTCTGTTTTATTTGCCAAAAAAGGTTTTATAAATTATATTTGAAGACTAACAATGTCATTCCAGAGTATCAAACCAAAACTTTACATTGTTCGGATCAACCTCCTGTTTTATTGTACCTCCTCATCAGCACCGTTGACACCATTTCATGGGTTGGTCTGCTGCTGTTGGAGTTGAGAAAACACCAACTCTGACAAACACAAAGGTAAAATCATCCATTCACTAATTTGTTCAAATCACTGACAGAGAATCTTTGAAAAAAAATCTAACATCACACGTTTATTCTGTGCTGTTTCTGGACATCCAGCATGATAAATTGTTATGTTACATCAAACACATGAAATAAAGAGCTGATTCCTCACAAATTCACACCCAAAACAAGTAAAATACAGTAAAAGCAGGCAACAAACAGTTAAAACATAGAAAACATTACTTCCAATTGAAAATAAACTGTAATAATACCAGAAATTGGGATACACTAGATGCACACAAACAACAATATACAGTCAGCTTCAAGATAGAAGCAAATGTCACAACATCCTTTTACAAATTCAGTGTAATGTATTTCTATATTACAAAATACAGTCATAATTGAAAACAACATTAATAATAAACTGAAATTACAATATGTCTTTTGTAAAAGTAGTTGCAGCTTAATATGTCACGTCATGATCTGTCTTATGTAAAGGGATTCAGCATTTTCATTCCCATAATTGCACATTACATGTAAAAATGTTTGACTCTGTATTAATGTCTTATTACTAAGATAAACAAATCCTTATCAGCACCAGATATCATTAAAACTTAGACGTTGTTGTCTATAGATAATTTAACGGGTCTAGTTTCCAGTCTTTCGTCTGTCTGAAGTTTCCTCTGAATCTCCTCCAGCTGCTCGTTGATTTTCTCCTTGTGGTTCTCCACCTCCTTCTTCCTGTCTGTCATTCCATCTAACAAACCGTTTGTTTTGTTCAGTAGTGTTTGTGTTTGCAGGTGAAGTTTTGCATCTTCTTGTTTTCTATCCACCAGCTGTCTTTTGGCCGTTAATGTGATACTTTTCATTTCGTAGTATCCCTGAGCTCGGTCACTTTCTGCCATCTTCTCCACTGACTGAATCTTGTTCTCAATATCTGCCATGTTTTTCTCCATGTCCTCCTTTTGATGTTGGAGCTGATCCCTCTGGTTTTGCAGTTCCTTGCTTTGTTCCATCAGTATATTAACCACCTGTTCCAAGTCTTTCTGCTCTTCCTCTTTCTTCTGTAACTCTTCTTCAAGTTTTGCCTTTTTCTCCTCCAAATCCTCCATTTCCTTACTTTGTGCCACGAGCTGCTCTCTCTCTCTCTTTTCAGTTTCAGCCTCATGGTGCATCTTTGTTTCTGTGCGAATATAAAATTGGAACATTATTATTACAGAAATTTTGTGGAAATGAACAGCACAGAGACAGAATAGAAAAGTGAAGGTAAAACTAAAAACATTTTTTTTTTTTTAAATCAGAGAAACGGGATATTATTTTCTTAAGACTTAAAAGATTGTGCCGCATTCTCAGTCCCTGGACACCCTGGACAGGTCACCGGTGCATACTAAACTCAAATATTAATATTTTAACCTATATTGACACTGATAAACATTCTGATTTTCTCAATAAACACATCCCTAATTTGCTATATTTTTTAAACATGAGTTTGTAAAGATGTGTCCACCGGTGACTTCTTGTGTTTGAACACAATCAAAGCTATGTACTCACCTTTGGTTTGGTTTTGTCTCCATTTCCACGTAAGAAAGACTCCTGCAAGACTAAAAATGAGGACAACAACCACGATAATGCTGACACGAGCAGCAGAAGTAGATGTGGCCACAAAGCAGTCAGCTGAAATCATAATACACACAACAGAATAGTAGTTATACATCAGCTGTTTAAAGGCTGAAATATAATAAATAAAGCAAGGATTCTGATATACCTGTAACCTGGATGTGAGTCTCTCTGATCTGGTTGATGTCCTTCTGTTGGACTCTACAGGTGAAGCTGTTGCTGTGTCTCTTCTCCACAGTCACTCTGCTGCTGACAGTATAGAGGTCATCAGGACCTCTGACTGTCTCTGTAGGTCCAGCAGAGAGGAGGTTTCCCTCACCGTCCAGCCAAAACACCTCAGGCTCTGGATACCAGCCCTCAGAGTCACAGTTTAAAATCACTACACTGCTGTTTAAGTAAATCCCTGCTAAGACAGGTGAGGAGACAGAACCTGATGACAGGAGAGAAGAGAAAAGACTGTGACACAATAATGGCACAAGCTACTTACAGCTGTAGAAAGAACGCCTCTCTCCCTCGTTCTCCATTCCTCCTTTAGTTTTTGGCTATCAGCGGACATGAACAACAAAGTCCGGTCGCGCATTCTCTTCATGGATGATGCGTTCAGTAACGAGTAACAGTGACGCAGCGTCACTTGGATTAGTAACTGTAATAATATAAATGTTTTAGAAAAGTAATTTGTTACACTACTAGTTACTGAGAAAAATAATAATATTAAATTAATGTGTTACAGAGTAATGCATTGCTGCCCAACGCTGATAGTGACAGACCTGATAGAGGTCTCCACAGAAAAATCTACTGGACCTAAATCTGCATAAATACTTGCTGAGAAAAGCTGCTTTCTGGGTAGACTATGGCACAATTAATTGATTTTAAATGAAATTCAAAGACATGAACTCGGCCCAAACAGAGAGATGATTGCAACATTAAAGGAACAGCTGGTACAAAACTTTTATGTTAAACTTGCTGTAATCTTAAATTATTGATGTGATTTAATTAAAAGTTTTACTTGAGGAAAACACTCCTGAAATTGATCTGAAACAATCAGCTAGAGAGAAGGCACACCACTCTGTTGCAGTTGTGTGAATTACTACAGAAATCAACTTGCAGAGAGCCTTTTAAACCAGACAAGTAAGAAAGTATGTAAATTATGTGTCATTATGCAGCTGAGTTATAATGTATTATGTCTTTTAATTTGGAGGACTTGCTGAGGAAAGCTTCTTTCTGGGTAGACTTAGGAACAATTAATTGATTTTAAATAATTTTCAATAAATGTTACAGACAGTAATTAATTTCCTTTAAAATAGAAACACCAAAACCACAGTACAGTTTAACTACTTTTAACTGAAGTTGATCACCAGATTATTGGATACTCCTTCAAAGAAATATAACCGCAACCCATCTGCCACTAATATACATGTACAGGTGTAATTTATTTGACTTCTCTTGAAGTTGGCTTTATGCAGCGATAAATGTCCCATGGTGTTTGGATCTTCATATAAGGGCATTAAATCAGACATTAAACCTGCTCCAGTGGAGCTGCTAAAATGTAAAGATATGTAGTGAGTGTTAAAAACTGAAACCCACTCACCAACAACAAGCTCAACAGTAGATTCTTTATCTTGAGAGGGAAAGTAACATCTATATATTCCATTATCAGAGTGTTTCACTGCAGAGAGTTTCAGTGAAAGGTCTCCGTGCCTCAGCTTCTCGATGGACAGTGATGTTCTTCCTTTGTAAGACGGGTTTTGGTTAACCAGAAGGTTTTGACCTTCATGCCACACATGGACAAATCTGGGTTCCAGGTCAGGTCTCCCCCACTCCAGACTCTTGGAAACAACATCTGCTGCAGGTTCCAGGTGGCAAGGCAAGATAACATCCTCACCAACTACTGCCACTATTGTTTGAGATGCTCCAACCCCCTGAGACTGGCCTGGAAGACACAGAACAAATGTTTTATCCTGCATTCAGAACTAACTCATGTGTACAGAATTACTGCTCATATTTATATGAAAAGAATGCTGATTCTTTCTTCCCTCTTTCATTTTGACTTCACCCGGTGTTGATGTTTGTGTGTAAGTTACCTCTGAAAGAGTCTGTCAGTAGAAGGAGGATCACAGCTTGCTGGAAAACCCAAGCACTGAAGTAACCAAGCTTATCTTTAGGTCCAAAGAACAGTCCATTATTTAGGCAAAGCATCTTAGAGTTCTAAGAAATCAAAAAATAAATAATAAATGCAACTTCCAAAAAGAATGTATGGAGCCTGATGTCGGCCATATGGTGTATCTGTATGATAAACTCGTGCTCTCAGATTTCAACCCGGAGGAGAAAGAAGTCCAAACTCCTTCCTTCAAAAAGCCTAATTAAAAGTAATGTAAATTTAAATGCTCCGTATTTGTATAGCGCCAGTCAGTAAATAGTCAGTATGTGCCATTTCTATTAACACTGAAATGTAAAAATATAACAGAAAGGCCATATCTTCGGCAACTTTGTACATGCTGTCACTTTAATGTAATGTCCTTGTGGATTTGTGAGTATAAGTATAATTTGCAGGGCAACAGCCACAATTGAGACAGTGTAATAGAAAGGTGTTACTCTGCTGTCCAGTTTGTTCAAATAGTTACTCATAGTGCCATTTTTAGTGATTAAGTTTCAAGTTTTGTTACAGAAATGTTCTATTGCAGCAGGTAGTAACACAGGCAAAGAATCTTACAGCTTATACTGCCTACGAGAATGAATAAAACACATATAAAAGTATCAAAGCCAGAAAAACTATAAAATATAAATGAACCACACGCGTTCAGAAACGCTGCTGCAGGTGGAGAAGCTCCATTTATCAGCTGTGTAAAATAACCCGTTTCAATTTACTCCACAAACTGCAATGACACAAACTTTAAAATAAAAGCTAGTGAGAAAACCATTAAAATTGAAATAGAAATGAAAATACATTTACTTAACAAAAGGCACCTTCCTGTTGTATCTCTCTCAGTCAGTTCTCTCCTGAAACTGCAAAGCTGTGCGATCAAAGTCCTTGAATAATAAAAAAAAGTACTTTGACACGGTTCAACATGTGTGTTCTTTTTTTTTTTTCGCTCATAGACTGTATAAGATAATCAGAGAGAAAGTTATTGTATTTTGCAAATCTGCATGTCTGTTTTCTTTCAGGCCATAATACTAATTGAAGGCTTTTATAGAGTTTCAGTTGTTCCTCCTCTCTAACGGACGTCCTGAAGCTGAGGTTGGTTGCCAGGTTAATAATCTATATCCTGAATAAAGATCCCGAGTTGGTGAGTTAATAAATAACAGGAATTCTACTGTAATATCAAAACCTTTGAATATGCACACACTTCTCAGGGATGTTAAAAACATAGTTTAAGACAATTGTAATAACTTTATTTTATTTTTAATAAAGAGGACAGACATATTTAAATGGAAAACTTTATTAAGTTGTATATACACAATTGTAATTTTACATAGGTTAAACTCTGCCTGAGTAATTTAATTCTGGTGAAAAAAATAATGTAGAAGACATCATAATCAATGATAACGATTTATTAATTTAAAAAGCTACAGGAGTGTACTTCCTTACAGAGTAATACAGCTAATCATCATAAAATTTAAATATATATAAATAAACATTTGCAATGTAATCATAACACACAAAAAATAACAATCAAAGAGAAATAACATCTACTTTTTAGATATAATTATCAGTTAGTTAATTAATCAATTGTTAAATGCAGAGATGGTCCTGAACTCTCTAGGGCCTTAAGCAAAATTGTGCTATGGGGCCCTCCTGCCTGACTTTTGAGCCATGTGAACCAAGTAGCGAATCCCACCATCCACCCCAACTTCCTCCTAAAAACAGAGACCGATCACCTTCAAAATAAAATGTCTGAGTCTGTCGGAGCAACGTGAGTAGCCTTAATTTAAATAGAGTTTTCACCACGAGAGTCTCTACGTGGTGCTTATGTGCAATCTGTACATAAAGCAGGTCTCCATCAGCCTACAATGGTCATAAACAATATAATAATATATAAAGCACTGTTTTCACTGTTCAAGCCGCTTTACTTTCAGAGAAATTAGAATTTTCAGCTGTAACAATATTTGGCAAAGCGTTATGTATGTAGTCAGGATATCCTGAACTCAAATGTGTGTTGTTGCCAGGAATAATTTATTTAACATGGTTCCAGCAAGCTTAAGTCATTTCTAGTAAGGCTATTTATTAAATGTTTTTCAACAATTCAAAATCACAGAATAACATAATTTCCCTAGCATTTTAGACACATGTAACATGTTTTATAGGCTACTTCCTGAAAAATAAAATCTAATTAATCTTTTTTCCATACTGTACTTAATTTGTTGGGTTAAGACCTTATTTTGAAAACTGAACGTTGTCCCATGTGTGTTGACACGCCAATTTCGCCAAGTCCTAAAATTTTATAATTTATTATGTGGTGATCGTATCACATACAATTAATTAATTTCATAGTCTCTCGTCAAGTAAGACTCTCATGTTACAAGTTTTGTTGTGGTGATGAAAATGACTCACGTTTTTAGATTTTCTTGTTAAATTTTCATTGTACAAGTTGGAAATTGGAACAAGCTGACTCTTTGTTGTGCTAAATGTCACTGCGCGTCTTCATTCAATGCGACAGTTACACAGCACAGGGCTAACATCGTTTAGGCAGCATAGGCTCTGGAAAAATGAACTCCGCACTGTTCAATATATATTTGCGCAACGTAGGACAATGAAATTGGGAAATACCCCCTAAACTGACTGTTTTCATCATACAATGCAAACAACTGAAGATGAATTATACTTCATGCACAGACCATTATTAAATATGATATATTATATATGGGCTACAGTATATTATAATTGAAAGAATCTGAAAGAATACATTATGCTATTTCTAATCTCACCATTGTAATTCTACTTTATCCTCCACCTTATTTTTGTGTTTTATCACAAACTTAACTTGCATTTTGTATTTTGTCACCTGCGATTCCGTTTTCACAACAGCAGGTGAGCCGCGTGTGGAGGAGGCTTGTTGTTAATTACCGATGGAGCCACCGTGGTATGAATATATATAGATGTTACTCATGGATAGGGACGTTAGGCTACTGTATGAATTAGGACTTTAGAGATATAATGATAGTAATTATAATAATATATATATATATATGTACATATGGATGGTCTGGTTGTATACTCAGGAAACATGGTTACATGGTTTGAATTTGGTTGTGGCCCCATGGGGCTTTATAGAACGACAACAGAGAATGATCAAGAGGTGAATTTGTGCATTATACTTTGTCAATTAAAGCAAACCAATCAGCCTTCTGTGTTTGAGAACTGCACTGTTTTTTAATCGCTCACTAGAGGGCTGCAGCGCCGCAATAACCAGCCTAGTTCAAATGAACAAAATGACTCAAAATAAGATTAGTTCATTTAAATGAACAAGGTTTGAAGATTCCAGTCAGTAAAAATATTTGAACTTCAGTCAGCCAATCACAAGACAGTGGGCTTTGAGAGGGGGGGCCTTCAAGAGACAGGAGCATCTACAGCTTGTTTCAGGCCCCTACATGAAGAGTCAGTATAAGTTTTTCGTTAGTCGTCAGTTTGTGACGCACTGGGGATCCCTTTACTGTCATAGTTCAAACGCATTGGGGGAAGCCCTGCAGCGTAGTTTTTGACGGTAAAGGTAGGTATGTGATATTTAACAGAAAAGACTGAGTAAGGAGGTGGTTGGGGTGGATGGAAAGCCAGAACCAGGAGACCATTAAAATAAAATGATGACTGAATACAAAACATATGTTAATCTTTCTGTAAGTTGGACCATTATTACTTAAAACTCATGAAATAATGTTTAGTATCTAGACATCATGGCCACGAGGGACACTTTGTATTAAATGATGAACCGTCAGAAAGGAAATAGTATTCACAGCACAGGAGTTCATAATGAATTGAGTCTTTACATCTTATTATAGAACAAAAAGTGAACTTTCTTACTACTCTCGTGAAGATGAGCATTGAGGTCATCACTTTCTACCCCTTCCAGCTGCAAGTTAATCAGCTCTAAATGGTTCTCTGCTTTCCTCTTCCTTTCTGTCATTGTTGCCATTATACCCTCTGTTTTGTGCTTCAGTTTCTCCATGTTCAACTGCTGTTTCTCTACTTTGTCCTTTCTCATCTCCAGTTTATCCTGAGCCTCTACTAGATTTCGTTTTTCTCTCAAGTATCCATCTGTTTTGTCAGTTGCCTTTGCTTTCTCACTCTCTGCTATTTCTTTCTCCACTAAATTAAGCTTCTCCTTGTTCTCCCCCATCTCTTTCGCTATCTCTTCTAACTGCAGTCTTAATTCCTCTCTTTGCGTTTCCAGTCCGTGCTTCACTTCCATCGTTGAAGTAATAGCTGCTGCCAATGCGTTCAGTTCTTCTTGTGTGTTCTGGGATTGTTTCTGCAGCTGTTTTTCACTCGATCCCTTCTTTTTTGCTGAGGATATGTACAACACTGAACAAGACATAAAAGGTCCGGTAGAATTAAACATTGTACATTCAATCAATACCAAATTAAAGATTTACCAGCTCTTAAAGAAAATTTGTTGAATGTGTGTTTTTAATCACAAAATGACATCTATCAATTTGACGTAGAAAAGCAAAGTAGTAGATAAAAAACAGTTCTCCAGACATTTGGTTTAGTCCTTGATATCACCAGACTCACATTTGGTTTAGTAAAAAAGAGGTATTTATTTGTTACTTACTGATTGCTGATTTTTTACATTTCCAGACAATAAAGACACCTCCGAGACACACGAGGCCACCTGCTAAGCCACCAACCAAGCCAAGACCGAAACAGCATGGGTTACAAGACGTGAGGAACCTGCAGCTGAAATAATAAAGCACAGAACAAAAAGGCATTCAAGAATGATTTGTATCGGAAATATTTGAACTCAAATTACATAACCCAACAAGAAAAATCAAAAGTGTTTTGTTACATATCTTCTTAGTGTTGTGTGTATTTTTTTGTATATTTATTCATGCGTGTTTCTGTATCTGGTTGCATTGTTTTGTATTTCTGCTTTTGTGGATCGTTTACCCGGCAGGCTTGCAGAGCTCTAGTTTTGTACTATACGTTGCTGTTCTTGGTAAAGGAGGGATGGGCAGTTCTTCCATTGCTGGTTGTTTCTGAGAAATTATGTTTGCAAAACTTCTCAAGCCGCGAGGTGAGGATGTTGAGCTTGACTGAGTGAGAACGTGCATGAGAAGGGGGGGCTGCGCAGCGTGTGACTGATACTGTGTTAGAGACTGTTTCTGGCTCTGATTGGTAGTGCTGTTCAGGGAGTGATGGATTCTTGCAAATGGATTTAGGAGCAGTAGGATTCTTCTACAGATTATCTGTCTCATGTCAGGATATAGATACAGTTTCAGCAAATATATTTTTGAAATAATCCCCTACTGCTGCTATAAACTCGATTATGTGAGAATATTCAGGAAAAAATTCTTGGTGAAGGAAAAAGTCCCCGTGAAAGGATTTCTGATTCCCATGGGCTGTAATGTAATCATCAAGATTAAAACAAAAAAATGGCCTTTTTTTTACTTTATGTGTGTTGAATCTAGAATATATCTAAGTTTCACTGTTTTGAATTAAATTACAGAAAAACCGAAATTTTTAAAAGCATGATTTTACTCTATTGAACTATGTTTTACCAAATTGCAACTAATTATTATTTTCATTATGGACTAATCTGCAAATTTTTATCTCCATTAGTCGATTAATTATATTGTAAAAATTATGAAAAAGGCAGTAAGTCTTCACATGTGAGAAGCTGGAACCATGAAATGTTTTTACAGGAAAAGTTACATCAACCCGCTCCAAAGGTCCAAATAACAAGGCTCACCGCCTCCTTTTGCCGTGACTATGAGGTGACTGCTTCCTCTTCAGCTACTAATCCACACCCATATCTCTGGTCCGAGCTGGACTTGAACCAGCACTCTGGTTTCCAAGCCAAGGACTGAGTTACTTCTGTCCTAAAAGAGAAACATTACTGAGTGCGAGATTGCGGTGCTGATCACTGAAATGGAGGCCAGAATAAATGTTTTATTTGGTGGTTTGTCCTCTGGGATCAACAACAAC